TGACTGAAGGAATATTTAAGCAAGGAGAAAAGTACACTAGTGCCGATGAGAGTTTGGTCGTAGATACTCCCTCAATTGAGTATTGGGCAACTGTATTTGAAGAAAAGCAGGAGAGGCTAAAGCACCAAAAGGAAGACGTTGAAGCAAATTTGAAGACTCAGCGTATGCAACCTGGAAAGATTGCAAGGAAGGAAGTTGAAGAGTGGCTAGAGAAAGCAGGCCAACAGATTGGCATAAAGGTTGAAGGTCTGATCAACCAAGGGGGATGCTCCTCTCTATCCAACCTCAGGAGAAAAATTGAAGAATTGAGGCAAATACATGAGCAAGGAAAAGAATTCACTAATGCTGCTGTGATTTTGGTCAGAGATGATCACTCAATCAAAGGATTTCCACTTCTCGTTGAAACATGTAGTGGCAGGGATGATATACAAGAAAAAATTCTGGAATGGTTGAAGGGGGACAAGGTTACAAGAATTGCAGTTTCGGGAATGGGTGGTGTTGGCAAGACAACAATTATGAAGAATGTCCACAACCAACTGTTGATTGAATCCAAATTTGAGAATGTTATTTGGGTAACAGTGTCAAAAGACTTTAACATTACTGTCCAACAAAAAATGAAGTTTAATATTCTCCAGTTTCAGAAAAAGATTGCAAGTAGCTTGAAACTAGAACGAGAGCCAGATCATGAGAATGAAACCAAGCTTGCTGCATTGATTTCACAAAGGTTGGGGCAGGGCAGCTTCCTGCTAATTCTGGATGATGTGTGGGAGCCTTTTTCTTTAGAAGATGTTGGAATTTCTAATCCAGTTGGAAATAATGGTTGCAAGTTAGTGCTCACGACACGGTCAAAAGATGTTGCTCGTGCAATGGATTGTAATGTGATCCATGTGAACCCTCTTCCACCTGAAGAAGCATTAGAATTATTCTCGGAGAAAATTGGAAGTGATGTGTTTTCAGATGGCAAAATTAAAAGAGATATAGAGCCATTTTTGAAGCAAATTTTGCAGAAATGTGATGGAGTACCCCTTGCTATTGTGACAGTGGCAAAATCAATGAAAGGGAAATTACTTCCTCGTCATTGGAAGTTGGCACTTTCTGAATTTAGTAAATTTGAAAGCATTATTGATTGTTTGAAATTCAGTTATGAATGCCTAGAACAACAATGCCAGGAGTGTTTTTTATGTTGTGCATTGTATCCTGAAGATTATTATATCCCAAAGGAGGAGTTAATTGAGTATTGGATTGAGGAGGGGCTTATATATAAAGAAGGGAAAACTAGGGAGGCAATGAATTGGAAGGGTCATGATATACTCGATAAGCTAGTTGATAACTGCTTGTTGCAATCGGTTGAAAATGAAGACGAAGAAGAATGTGTGAGTATGCATGATCTTCTTCGAGAAATGGCACTGGAAATCAGTCCTCAATTCTTGGTGAAAGCCGGCATAGCCTTGGAGAAGTTACTAGAGGAGCATGAATGGAGAGAAAATCTTTTGAAGGTTTCTTTAATGGGGAATCACATAACAGAAATTCCTTCAAGCATGCTGTCTCCAAATTGTCCTATGCTCACAACCTTGCTGTTGTCCAATAATGAGATTTCAACAATTCCAGAAGCTTTTTTTGAGCATATGCTTGGGCTCAAGATCCTTGATCTTTCCTGCAATTATCAGCTATGTAGGCTGCCGAGTTCTATCTCCAAATTGGAGAAGCTTACTACATTATTGCTATGTGAATGTACGTCCTTAAGAGAGGTACCAGCATTATCCAACCTTGTAGGGTTAAAGAAGTTGGACCTTTCCTACACTTCAATTGAAGAACTACCGCAAGGCCTCAACATGTTAACAAATCTAAAATATCTTGGTCTTGGTGGAAGATTATTTGAAACACTTGATGAACCGCTACAAAATCTCTCCAAACTTCAGCATTTAGTAGTAACTACCGATTCCAGTGACAAAACAGAATTTAAATGGGAAACGATTGGAATTTGGGGGAAGCTTCAAAACCTTGAGAAGCTGCATCTTGATTATTTGCATAACTTGAATATGGTGTTTGGGGAAGTAGGAGCAATTACTGAGTTAGCATCGCTACCAGCTAGCACATTTTCCTCTCTTCAATATATTAGTGTTTGGCGATGTTATAAAATAAAGAATTTATGCTCAGTAAGGTGGTTGGGATATCTCCAGAAACTACAGTCTATTGACGTTTTTGATTGTACGCAACTGGAGGAGATAATAGGGTCTGAATCTAAAGAAGGAGAAAAAGTCACTCTACCCAACTTAGAAAGGTTGAAATTGACAAGTTTGCCCTTATTGAAGACCATCTATAGCAGTTTTTTGATTTGTGATTCCATCAAGAAGATTGCAATTTCTGGTTGTAAAAATATAGAAAGTGTTTTTTGGTCCGAGTTCAACCCACTTCCAAATCTTGAATATCTGGAACTTACCTATTTAAGGAATCTGAAATCTGTGTTTGATGAAGAAGGTCTTGGTTTATCGCCACTTGTACCTCCCACAAGCTTTTTTTCTCTTAAAGAAATTAGGGTTGAAAAATGTGATCAATTAAAGAAGGTATTCTCATCTGGATGGTTGCTTCACTACTTCCAATCTCTAGAGACTATTGAGGTGTCAAGTTGTTCGCAAATGGAGGAGCTGATATCGTCATCGGCACATGAAGAAGAAAAAGTCACTCTACCCAAGTTAGAAAGGTTGAAATTGACAATATTGCCCTTATTGAAGTGCATTTGCAGTAGCTCCAGTGCGTTGATTTGTGATTCCATCCAGAGTCTGAGGATTTTTGATTGTGAGAAGCTAAAGAGGATTCCTTTGAAGTTTCCCTTGCTTGATAATGCCCAATCATCTCATCCTCCTTCCCTCAAAGAAATTGTGGTATTCCCAAAAGAATGGTGGGAATCATTGGAATGGGACCATCCCAATGCCAAATACATCCTTTTCCCCTTCTGTAAATTTTGGCCAAGTTGGTGGTAGGGCACACCGCAAATGTAAGCCTTTTAATCTTCAATTTTCCATTTCTGATTCAACTCAATATGAGTTTTCCATTCTTAATAAATCTCTCTCTCTCTCAGCTATTCTTTTCTCCCCAATTGGCAGCAATTGAGATTCGACTCGGTAATCACAAGAAAGTTGGAGGAAATCACATATGCACTAGTTGCTGTTGCTATTGGGTTTTCAATGTAATATAATCTTTGTTTTTCTTTTGCTGTGTGTGTTGTGTGTTTAAATATGTCCAATTTTAAGTGGAAAACTGGAAATGTTTGTTTCTTTATTATCTGTGTAATGTTGTCTTTGAAATTGTGTGGGAAAAGACTTGAAAATGTATTTGCTTTTCTTGTCATATGTATTTCAATTAATTGCATTTGCATATCTCCTCAAATTTCATTCAGCAACATTATCATCAT